TATATATATACACACACACACACACACAACTACACATACACACACATACATACACATACCAAGGAGTAAAATGGCCAGCTCACCTGGTAATTTAATTTTTAATTTCTTTACAAACAGCCACACTGATTTCCCTAGCGGTCATACCATCTTATACTCCAACCACCAGGTCACAAGGGTTCCAGTTTCTCCACCCCCTTACCGATTCTTGTTATTTCCTGTTTTGATTAGAGCCATCCCAGAGGGCTTCTAATTGTAGTTCCTTAACGAGAAGTGATGCTGAGCACCTTTTCATGCGCTTCGTGGCCATTTATTTATTTTTGGAGAACCGTCTCTTTCAGTCCTTTGGGCCATTGCGAACCAGGTTGGTTTGGTCTGTTGTGCTTGGGTTGTTGTTTTTAAATCTCCTATATCGCACCCCCGGAAGATGCATGCTTTGCAGTTTCCTCCCATCCGCAGGTTGCCCGTTCGCTCCTCTACACAGTCTCTTTAATCTATTTTTTCTTGGGTGTGCCTTAGATGTCAAATCACTGTCAAATACAATGGTGTGAAGCTTTTCTCTGTTTTCTTCTACGAATTTTACAGCTCAGCTCCTACACTTAGGTCTTTGGCCCACTTTGAGTTAATGTTTGCATAGGGTAGGGGGGTGACTTCACTCTGTGGCACCGGATATCTGATTTTCGCAGCACTTTTTGTTGAAAACTCGTCTGACCGTCTGCGTGAGGGCTTAGTTCTGGCCTTTGTCCTACTGCACTGGTCTAAATGATATCTTTATGCCAGCACGCTTTTTTTTTATATATATTACTGTAGCTTTGTAATCAGTTTTGAAAGTGGGAAGTATGAAATTTCTAATGTTCTCTGAATTGTTTTTGGCTATTTCAGGCCTCTGGAGATTTCATCTGAATTTGAGGATGGATTTTTCTGTTACTGCAAAACTGGCTGGGATGTTGCTAGAAAGCATGAAACCTGTAGGTCTGAGTAACACGAATAACCCATACACGTGTGCCTTGACGTTTATCTAATTTTTCAGCAATGATTTGTAGTTTTCCTTGTATAAGTTTTTGGTCTCCTGGTTAAGTTTATTCATTAACATGTTGTTCTTATTGATGCTATTGTAAAAGGACTCGTTTCCCTCATTTCCTTTTTTGGATTATTTATTGTTAGTGTATAGGAATGCAGCTGATTTTGTGTATAGATTTTTGTACCTGAAAACTTTGAAATTTCATATATTAGTGCTAACAGGTGGTTTTTGCAGCACCAGGGATCGAACTCAGGACCTTGCTCTTGCAAGGCGGGTGCGGTGCAACTGAGCTATATCCCAGCCTGAGCGCTAACAGTTTTTTGTGGAATAGCCAGGGCTTTCTGCATATATCATGTCATCTGCATTGCGATAATTTTCTTTCCAGTTTAGATGACTTTTTTTTCTTGCTTTATCTCATTAGCATTCCCAGTGTTAGGTTAAATTGAGGTATTATGTTAATAATTCTCTTACTCTTGAATTTTGAGGGACATTTTTCAGTCTTTTGTAATTGAATATGGTTATGAATTTTTCATATAAGGTTTTTTTGTGTTGAGGTAGTTCCTTCCATTTGTATCTTCAGGCTTTGTTTTGTTTGAGACAAGGTCTCATTGTGTAGCCGAGGTTGGCCTTGAATTCATGATCCTCCTGCCTCAGCCTCCCAAGTGCTGAGATTACAAAAATATGCTGTGATATTGAATTTCATTAAATACTTTTTCTGGATCAGATGAGATGGTCATGTCTTTTTCCTCTTCATTTAATTAATGTGATATGTTACAGTGATTTCTGTAATTTGAACCATTCTTACATTCCAACAGTAAAATCTACTTGATCATGTTGTATAATCCTTTTATTCTGCTGTTGATTTCTTCTCTAGTAACCAGTTGAAAACTTGTATATCTATATTTAGCAGGGATATTTATTGGTTGGTAGTTTTATTATATCTTTGTCTGGCTTTGTTATTGAGTAACACTGGCCTCACAGAATGAGTTTGAAAGATTCCTAGCTCTTCAGTTTTTTGGAAGTGCTTCAGGAGGACTGGTGTTAATTCTTTAAATGTTTGGTAAAATTCGCCAGTGAATCCGTTAGGTCCTGGGCTTTTCTTTGTTGCCAGGTATTTGATCACTGATTTAATCTTTATGGCATTTACAGGTCTGTTCAGACTTCCTATTTCCTAATGATTCAAGCTTAGTAAGTTGGGTGTTCTAAGAATTCACCCATTTCATCTAGATTACTCATACAATAATACATTATTCATATCTTCTTATTGCTGTAAAATCAGTAGCCTCCCTTTTTCATTTCTGATTTTATTTTAGAGCCGTCTTTCTCGTATTAGTCAATCTAGCTAACGGTTTGTCAATTTTGTTAATATCTTCAAAGAACCAAATCTTTTTTTTTTTTTTTTTTTTTTTTTTGGTACTGGGGATCGAACTCAGGACCTTGTGCTTTCGAGGCAGGCGGCGGCACCACTGACGACACCCCCAGGCCCTCCTTCAGCATTCCTGTAAGGTAGGTCTAGATGTAATGAATCCACAGCTTTGGTCTGGAAATGTCTTTTTTCTTCTTCTTTTTTGAAAATGTCTTATTTTTGCCGGATAACTTTTGATCAGCAATTTGTTGTTGTTTTTGTTGTTGTTTTAGGCAGGGTCTCACTGCGTAGTTCAGGCTGGCCTTGAACTCACTAGGTAGCCCAGGCCAGCCTCAAACTCGGTGATCCTTCTGCCTTAGTCTCCCAAGTGCTGGGATTGCAGGTGTGCACAATCATACCTAATTTATCTTTAAATATCTTATCCCACTGCCTTCTGGCCTGCAAGGTTTTTGCGGAGAAATCCACTGACAATATTATAGAATCTGTCTTCAAGTCTTTGACTTGACATTTTGATTATAATGTCTTAGTTTCGGTCTCTGGGTTTATCCTACTTGAGAAAGTTTTGACCATTTTCTTCAAAAAGCTGCCCACCTCTTCTTCTTCTGTTCTGTGAGTCTCATAGTATTTTACTGGTTTACTCACTGTCGTGTGGTAAATGCCTTAGTTTTGGCATTTTTGTTCTTTTCTCCTTGTGCATGTCAGACTTGATAACTTCAAATGACTGTTCAAGTTCTTTAATTCTTTCAAAGCTGCTGTTGAATTTCTCTAGTGCACTTTTGTTATTACATTTTCAGCTCCAGAATTGACAGTTTTTCTTATTGTTGTTATTCACGTATCATTTTCCTGCTTTTGTGTAGTCGTCTGTGGGTTCTCCTTCAGCGCACTAAGCACATACACTACAAGAGCATTGTGTGAAAGCGCTTGGCATAGAAGCCAGAGCCCTGTGTTTCTTTAGGCTCACTTTCTGGTCCCTTGACTAGGCCTGGTCTCCCTGTTTCTTTGATGAATATCGAGCACCTGAAAGACAACTACTGCTTCCTGTCTCTGCCGGCTTCCTCTGTGTAGGGAATCAGGCCCTCCTGACCCTTTCCAGGGGCGTGGGACATGCCAGCCTTCCCTCATTTAAACGTGCTTTCACCCCAGCGCCCCTGTGTACTTGCTATTTCTGGATGTTCTCATTGCAGTAGGAGTCGTGTGCCACCTTCTTCTGAAGAACTTGGGCGGTGCCTCCTGTTCTGCCCATAATCTCTTCCCCAAGTCACCTGAAGTTCTGTCACCCCCCACAGCTCTCTTGCAGTGGCACCCACAACTGCCTTCAGAATCCTCCAACCCCAAGTGGCAGCTATGCTGCGGCGGTGGGCAGAGCTCCAAGGCAGACAGGGCACAAACCAGTCCCCCGCATGGCCTAGACAGCAGAACGCGCTGCAAGAGTTCACCCTTCCCTTCCCATCCCCAGGAAGGAGCTGGGGTGTGGGTGGTGGCAGATGGATGCACCATCTCTGGATGAGGCATTCATTTTGCCGCCGCCACTGCTGAGCCAGTTTCTAGAGTTTTCACAGAGCTACTTTGGTTCATGTACCGTTTTCCGTTCTGTGTCTCTGGGCGGGGCGGTGAGGGCCTGGTGCTTCCTACTCCACGCCCTGCTGATACCACTGTCTTCCCTTGGATTTTGATCAAGATGTTTTCACTATGCCATGTTCTGTATCTTGTCCAGCGTTAGAAGCTGTCCCACTAGAAGGGTTGTTTTGAATTAGCTTGTATAAATGCAGATATTCCTCATGTAACGACTTTAATGACCTACCTGTTCAATGATTGCTCAGACCTATGACTTGTCACAAACACCACATTTTCTCATTCTGGAACTTTTAGACATGTTGGGTCCTCTCCTACCATTTTCCTATCGTATTTCCCCATTTGCTAATCTTTTTCCTCTGACATTGAATCTGTTAAGTTTTAAATTTCTGTGAAAATTAATTCTTCAGGTCTGGGCATTCTGCTTATCATTTTTCAGTGTTTCTTTGCCGCCACCTGCACAGTATAGGGTCCAAAGCCAGGGAGAGCGGTGGGAGATGAAGAAAATTGGAAAACAATAAGAAAGGAGGCTATGTACTGGGTATATACCAAAATTATGCTTATAGCTGGGACCAGGTGGGACCGCAGCCTGCTGAGCTCATGGCCGCCCGGCATCCAGCGCGGTCTTTATGTATAGTGTAAGACAAACAGGAAGCGAAGGCAGGGTAACTAGTGCCATGTGGCCTACGTGGCCTGGGCTGAGCCATCCAGGGTCTACCTTCTGTCTACTCTGCGGAGAGAGGGAGTGAGGGTGAGGTGCAGGCATCTTCAGGCTCGGTCCACAGCATTTTGGTCTTTAATGATCTCCTGAAGCCCCTTGTTCTGGCTTCCGGGGGGCTCAGTGGGCGTGTCTTGCTGTTTGCCATGGTCGCTGTTGTCTGTACCTGTGACACTGGTGGAAGGTGGGCTTCTAGGCACTGAACGTGGCATTCACGCAGCTCCTCTAGTGACAGGTCTGTGGTTACAGGTGGCCAGGTGATTTTTTTTTTTTTTTTGGAGACGGGGTCTCGCTGTGTAGTTCAGGCTGGCCTTGAACTAGGGCTCTTCCTGCCTCAGCCTCCCCAGTGCTGGGATTATAAGCATGTGGCACCACGCCCAGCTTCCAGGTGACTTTGAGGGTGCTCCAGACACAGCACAGCAGGCTTTGGACTTGTCTCTTTCTGCTGAATGCGTCTTTGCATCTCCCTTTAGTGTGGACTCCCGGCTCCCTGTACAATGATCGAGTGTGCGTCCTCCCTGGTAGGGGCTAAGAGAAAGGGAGGGAAGCACATACCCGGCCAGGGTCAGTGTGCCTGTGGGCCTCACTTACTGCACTGTGGAGCAGTGACTAGGGGCACCCTGGGTGCACAGGTGGATAGAGGTGGCCGCCCCGGGTGTCACAGGCATCCTGGAGGCAGAGGCACGGGCACAGTCACTGCCCTTGCTCGGGGACCCTCGGTGGCACCAAAAGAATGGGCAGGGTCTCTCTTGCCCGGGGGCCCCTCTGGGTGGCCCCCACGAGGCTTGACCTTGCACTCACCACCCGGAAGCAGGTCCCCAGGCTGGAGTGGAGGTCGTGGAAGGCGGCCTGGCAGAGGGAGCTCTGTCCCGGGCTTGGCTGTTGTCCTCTGTGGCCCTACCGTCCCCAACCACCTGCAGGGACAGACACAAGACTCAGGCCTCCTGCAGCCCCTTCTCTCATGGGCAGACTCAGCAGACACACAAAGGGGTCCCAGGGAAGCTTCCCAGAGCGAGTTCCCCTGGCCCCGGGTCTGCTGAACCTCCGTCTCACCTGCCAGGCCTGGGCCAGCTCCGCAGGCTCGACCGGAGTGCCATCTATCAGCGTGAGCTCGTCACCTGCCTCACTGTCGTTGGTGCCCAGGAGGCCGGCATAGATACTTTGGGGTGGGAGCGGGACAGGCTGTGTCCCTGCGACGGCACGAAGTGTGTGGGGCACCGCCTGCAGCACCCCACCCAGCCCACACCAGGCCACAGACAGGGGCAGGAGCGGGCGAGAAGGGAAGGGGCTGACGACCTCGGTGTCCCTTCCTGCCCTGTCATGGCGGTCACCGTGTTCCTTGGTCACCAGCTGGTAGAGAGCACCGTGAGAGCTGACCTCACTCTAGAGCAGCCTGGGCCTTTGCCAGCTCGTCTGTAAATGGGATGGGAACTTCCAGGACGAAGGAGTGTAGATCTTATATGTGTTATGCTACAGACGAGGCCAGTGAGTGGGGTCTTCACCGGTGTCATCACCCCCAGAGGAGGGACTGTCCCTGCAGGGCACGGGCCAGTGAGGTTCCCCCTACTCAGAGCCTCTGGACTAAGCCATGCAGGGTCGGCTCAGAGGCCCGTGTCTCCCTCAGTCCTGGCGGTCACTGGACGAGCCTCTCTAGACAGGGCCGACACTGTGAGACCCAAACCCACGGTGGTACCAGAGGCCCGGGATCAGGCCGCAAAGGCCAGCACGCACGTCACAGGAGACGGAGACATCGACCTCACTGGTCAGCACAACCTCCTCTTCTCGGCAGAGGGCAAATCAGGGTATGGACAGCTGTGCCCCAGCAAGGAGTCGTACAGCACATGGGGGTGATGCCCATCTCCAAGTACCACCCCCGGGAGGCACTGACCTGCAGGCTGGGGTAGAGGACGAGGGTTGTATGGTTCAGCTCCATGGGCAGGGCCCCGAGCCCACCAGCTTAGCCACAGAGAGAATGTGTTGTGAGCAAAGTCCTTGGCCAGCAGGGGGCTGCTGCAGTGGGCAGTGCGGTCCCACACCCAGCCATCGAAGGTCACCACGTGCCGGGCCCCGGCCACCATGGTGTGGTCTGGGGAGAGGAGCCAGGGCAGGCTGAGCAGACAATAGCTGGCCCCCGATGTCAGTGTGCCCCAACCTCGAGGGAGACTCCTCCCCTCCACCAGCCTCAGGCTGACCCCACCCACATAAACCCCTCCGGGCCGGCCTGGAGCCACCCTGGCTCTATCAAGGGCTGCAATCCTTACCCACCCCAGTGGTGCTGCCTGGGCTTCACATAGTCAGAAACGGAGTCCTAGAGAGGTCAGCGGAGTTGGAGGTCATCCAGCAAGGCTGAGTAGGATGCACACTTCCCCCAGGGTTCCTAGAACTGCCCCAGTCCCAGGAGGACGCTTGGCTGAGGGCCCAACCTTACAGCAAGTCTGGACCCAATTAGCAGCCTTCCGCTGTGCTGCAACTGGAGGTTGGCCTTCTGCTTCCCCGGCAGGGCCCATGGGGAAGGGGCTGGCCTGGCGCCTGACCGCTCTGCACACCCCTCTGCTGGGCCTGGGATTGGTTCTTAAATTCTGGACAGAGGTCAGGCTCTGTGTCCCCAAGTGACCTCAGAAGGCCAGCACCCTCGAGGCCTAGCACAGTGAGACTGAGCTTTTGCGGGCTTCCCTGGCACCTGGCCGTGGAGGCTCCCACAGAGCAGAGGGGTTCCCAGGGCAGCACTTAGTCCAGCGGGCTCCCCGCAGGTGGTGGCCAAGCCCGTGCCACTCACCCAGCACGCGGGCTCTGTACAGCTCTCGGAGCAGCCGCAGCAGCTCCTCCCCCAGGCAGCTGGTTACCTGGACCACGTCCAGGGGCTCATCCGCTGCAGGCAGCAATGGCAGCATCACCACCGTGGAGCAGTCCCCGGAGGAACAGGCAGGAGACCCCTCCGGTCAGGACCGACCTTCTTTTGCTGTGGGACATTGGTTAGCAGGAGCAGTGGCACCTCTCTTAGGGCCCTGGCCTGTTGTCAGGAGCCGAGCGGAGGTGGCCGGGCACAGAAGCAAAGAGCCCTGTTATCAGGACCCCGCTGTCTGGCCTCATGCAGCCCCGCCATGGGGGTGGGGTGCAGACACCCGGGCCCACGCCTGCACGCTGTATCGTGGCAGACACAGGGACATCCACCATGGAGCTGTGGTCACTGAAAAGTTCTATAGTTGAGAGGAGGTCTGGGAGCCTTCTCAGGATGTAAGACAGGGGTCAGGCCACCCTCAGCTCACAGGAGGGTTGTGGAGGGTGCAGGGAGTGGGGTGGCCCAGGGCCCTCCCTTCCGCTTGTGCCCCTTCACTGCACCCCACCCATTGGCATGGCTCCCACTCTCACCAGGTGGCCCCTACTCCTGCTTTTCACATGAGCCAAGGGAGATTTTGGATTTGGGGGGTGTTGAGACAGGCTCTCGCTAGTGGAGGGTAGTTCAGGCTGGCCCGCAGCTTACTGTGGATCCCAGGCTGGCCTTCCTCAGCCTCCCAAGTGCTGGAATTACAGACGAGCGCCACCACACCTAGCTAAAGGGAGCTTTTTAAATGGAAAGTTGGTCATGTCCTTCCCCAACTCAAACTGTTCTGTGTGTTCCCATCATAGACCTGAAGCCCTTGGCCCCGGGAGCCATCGATCCTAAGCTCCTCTACCCTCCCTCCACCACAGCGTGCTCCAGCCCCACCAGCTTCCTGTGTTCCTCAAGCAGGCTGGCACGCACCCGCCTCTGGGCCTTTGCACTGGCCCCGCCCAGAACTCCTGCCTCACCTCCTTCAATGCCCGGCTCAGAGTCCACCTCCTCTTCAAAGCCACCCACGGCTCTACCACGGATGGCGCCGTCCACCCACAGGGCTGCCTGCCAGGGGACGCAGCACTGCCCCTAAACCCACACCACGCAGCAGGCCACAACCAGCCCACGGTTATGGTCTGCAAGCCAAAAATGGCTTTTCTGTACTTAAAGGTATTTAAAATAAGCTAGAATGAGCAAGTCACGGAGCCTAAAATGCTCACGGTCAGGCCTCCAACAGGGAGCACGGCCCACCGTGTTCATCTCATTCGGCCCCTGAAACATTCGCATGCAGAGTGTGCCCGTCAAAGCCCTGAGGAATGAGGACTAAGCCTCAGTTTCCTCACGTGTAGAAGGGGACGACAGATGCTTCCGGGGCAGGGCCGTGGGCTGTGCAAGGGGCTCTAGGTGGAGAGGTGCAGCTTGGCCTCTGTGTGGGCAGAGCCACAGTGGCCACCCCGGTCCCCGGTTACCTGGCTGAGAAGCAGAGCCTCCTCAGTGCCCTCGAGAGCACGGCTTCAGCCCAAGACAGGCCTGCTGGGCGGCCTGGGTGGGCAGGGGGAGCAGTCAGGGTCACCGTCACTGGCCAGGCCACCCCCACCCCCTTCACCGCACCTTACCAGCTCCAGATGGGCCTCAGTCCCCGACCTCCATCGGTGGGGGCACCCAGGCCTGCAGCCACCCGCGGGCCACTCGTACCTGCTCCAGCCATACCCGGCCCAGGGGCTGCGGTGTCACGCCGAACAGGCATCCTTCAGTGGGGCCAGGGGCCCTGCAACAGCCCACCGCCGCCTGCCCCCAGCCCTGCCGCTCAAGCCAAGGAAACCGGGCCTGCTCAGGAGAAGCAGGGCTGGAGGCGCTGCAGACGAGAGGGCTGTCCCCTCAAAGGCCCTGCCACAAGGCTGGCGCTTGTCTGGAGCCGGAAACTGGCCTATTATTGAGTCCTCAGCTGTCTGCGGGTGGTGTGCTTTACCCTGCGTACCTGCTGGACACAGCCTCGGGGCCAGCAGTAATGGCTGCCCATGCGACAGCCCCGACCAAACCCGGGACGCTGTCTGCCGGTGTTGTCACAGGCATGTAAGTGCATCCTGTGTGATGGCACCGCGGAATGGTGCGGGCCTCTGGGTACTGGATGTTTCCTAAGCAGGGCAGTTAGCTTGGGACCTAGAGGAGGGCAGGGACATCCTGCACGGCGATGAAGGCGTGTGGGCAGCAGGCCTCCTTTGTGACCTAGACAACGTCCGGTTGTGGTCCTGAGTGCAGGGTGCGCCGTGCCTGCACTCGGGGTCCAGCTCAGTCTGCAGCTGCTCCGGCTCCATGTGCAGCCCCTCCAGGTGCCCACTGCCTGGCTGCTCGCCTGTACGTCCCCCAGCCCAGCCTGGGACAGTGCAGCAGGAAGCCCACCGTGCTGTCCAGGGCACCCAGTGGTGGCACCAAGGCAAGAGCAGTGTGGAGGCCTAGGACACCGCACTCCAGACCCTCCTGCTGGGTACAGGGGACACAGGCCTGAGTGGGCCACACACACCTCCCTGGTAGCCCAGTCTACCCACCAGCTGCGGCGACCTTCTCACCTCGTCAGCCACGCCTCGGAGCTTCTCCTCCAGCTGGACTTGCACCTGGGACCCAGCTCTGCGCTCCTGGTCTATGGAGACAGGAACAAGCTGGGGCTCTAGGGCCACGTGGGAAGGAAGTGGACAGAAGGCTCTCACAGCCAGCTGCAGGGCCTGGGATGGTGTGGGCCGTGCTCTGGGGCCATCGGTGCTGGTTTTCTGGGCACGGAAGCACCAGAAGGGTTCAGGGAGCCTGGCACTCCGGCCCCTGGCCCGCCCGGGCCTCTCACCTCCACATGGTTCAGCAAGGGCCCCGGGCAGCCATGCGCTGCCAGGCAGAAGCTCTGGTTGGCAGCCTGCAGCGCCAGGTGTCCCAGCCTAGAGCGGGGCCTCCACCTCCGCTGCCCACCTGTGGGCATGTGCCTGCCGCACCACGCTGTCCCCCCTCTGCTCCCTGGGGGCAGCAAGGGACCTGTGGTCTCACCCATGCCTTCTCCATCTGCCCCCAGCTGCCCTCTCCTGTACCACACAGCCGGCTGTAGCTCCGCAGTGGTCCAGCCAAAGCCTCAAAGCCCTAGGATGCGAGGGCCTTGAGCTGCCACCTGAAGCTCCCATGTACCCGTCTCCAGCAGTGGGACCAGACCCTCCCAGGGTCACCCAACCTGGCAGTTAGCATGTGGGACAGGTTGCCACAGAATCCTAACAGGGGCCTTGGGGTTCCAAGCACCCCACCTGTCTTCTGTGGCACCACAGTGGGGCCTGTCCCAGCTAGCTGAGTAGGACCTGGCCACCTCTCCTTACCCTCCTTGTGGGCCACAGAGGCTTGAAGACAGCTGGGGACCTGAAGACAGCTGGGGACCTTCAACACAGCCTCAACCACCCCCCTCCCGTCCTGTCTGTGCTTCCCTCCACCTGGGCCCGGGTTTGGGAGGCCGAGGTGGAGAGTCAGCCCTACAGGCTGACCCACTGCGCTGAGGCCTGAGCTGCAGGGAATGGCGGGAAAGCAGCGGGCACCCCACAGCCCTGGGGTGCGGGACCTCTCCCCTCTCCCTGTTGCAGGGCTCAGAATCCTCTCCAGGTGCAGAGAGTCCCAGGGGAAAACTCAACAGCATGGTGGCGCCTTCATCCAGGTGGCTTAAAGCTTCCTGCCACACTCCAGAGGCAGGTTAAACGGTCTGGGGGTCCCTGCGTACCAGCCAGTACCTGGTGTGTCTATGTGCAGCCCGGCCTTTCTACATTTGCACCAGAGCCGCTGCAAAGGTCTCAGCACACTCAAGGAGACCCTGTGGGCACCTCCTGCATCAGGCCTGGTCACCGAGGGGAGCAGCCAGGTCCTTCAGGGAGAGACACGTCAGGGCTGGTGTTGCGGGGGATGGGACAAAGTCAAGAAAGGCTGTGGAGCCCCTGGAGAAGGTGACACCCTGCAGTGGGGAGAGGAGAGCCATCCCTGGCCTGTATTCTAGTTCACACAGCCAACAAGCTGTGCAACTTCGAATCTGAGCCACCCTCTCTCAGCGGCCTTAGCCTCAAAATCTATAATGTGATATAGAGCAGTGGTTCTTAAAACACGGCAAGGATTTGAATCACCCTCTGAGAGAGAGAAGCGGGGTGCTGGAACAGATATATAGGTGGTGTTGAAGTCTGAATCCGCCAGGGCCTGTTAATGTGATCTCATTTGGAAATAAGCTCTTTGTAGATGTAACTGAGGAAAGACGAGGTCATACTGGACGGGAGTGGACCATGTGCCCCAGGGCTGCTGTCCTTGTAAGAAGGCTACGGCAGACTGGAACGACTGCCCCAAGCCAACACCTCCAGGACACCAGAAACTAGAGGCAGCAGGGACGCACCCTCCCCGAGAGCCGCTGCCTCCTTGCTGACAATTTGGGGCTTATGGCATTCACAACTGAGACAGAAGTCTTATCGTAAGCCCCTAAACTGGTATCATCTGTCACAGTGGCCCAGGACTCTTAACAGGTGCTAAGTACACACAGGCTCCTTCCTGAGAACCCTGGGTGCGGGGCGGGGCTGCAGCCCAGGGACACTCAGGAAACCCACAGGCAACCTGACGGCGCCAACCCCGGCCAGCAGCTCAGCCCCTCCTGGCACTGCTGGGTAAGGACCCGTTACCTGCTATGGGGGTGGGTGCAGCCTGACCTCCCTGAATCTGTCCCTCGCTGTCCCGGGGCTACCAATAAGACAGAGCGAGACTTCTATCTTCCGCAGGCCCCAGGGCGGGGCCAGTGACACAGGCAGGAATCACCAAGCGCTGCTCAGGATGGAGAAGGCAGAAAAGTGGCCCTCACCACGTGCCGGCATACGCCAGCTCAGTGCTCTCACCCCCAGCCGCGGACTCTGGCACGTGGAGGGGACTCCACAGGAAAATCCTGAAACAGCCAGAGCTGCTGGGCCAGGGAACCCCAGCCCAGAAGTACAGTCCGGTTCCGGATGCCAGGGAAGGGAGGGAAAATTCAGGCCCAGGGGTTCAGGGTCCCCCAGAGTGAAGATCTGGCCCCAAGCCAGGGGCTGGCCCCAAGCCTGGGGCTGGCCTGCAGTTCCGGTTATGACCACTGGGTGGCAGGGGAGCCCAGGCAGTGGATCACTGCCCAGCGAAGACAGGGACACCAGGCACCTCTCCCCAGTGCAGTCCAGAGCCAACACTCACTTCCAGCTCCCAGGAGAAGTCGGATGCATGGGGGCTGCTGTGGTTGTGGAGGATCAGGGTGAGATTCAGGCCATGGTCCAGGTCCGGGGAGAGGCCCAGATGGCAGTAGGAACTCAGCAGGAGCTGCCGGGGGTCCAGGCTGTGCGCCCTGGAGACAGACAGGGCCTGGTGGAAAGCCCCAAGCTGGGAGGCATGGAGCTGCAGGGATGGTAGCTTCTTCTCCCCACCATGCCCATCCATGAGAACGAGGGCAGCAGCCTGGGGGGGTCTCCCAGCCTCCACTTCTGCCCCGCCACAACCCTCCCATGCCTGGCAGCAGGACAGG